TTTTTTTTTTTTTTTTTTTTTTCGCTATTATATAGTCTGATCTATGGCTCACAGCAAAAATCAATTGTTGTAGCCAAGAAGTTTTTGACTGAAACGTTGTCTGTTTTTATAATGCTAAAAAGAGCCAAAAATCCAATATTATAGTGTTACGCTTCCTATTCTATTAAATTATTGATGATACTACTGAGTATAGTTGATGCTTAAATTTATAATCTTTTTGTGACTACCAATTTTTCACATCTTTCTTTTGTTTTTTCTTGTTTCTTAAGCCACTTCCGCATTGTACAATCTTTAGCCATTATACTGCTCTAAAAACCGCAAAAAAAAATTTTGTTTTTTGGTCCATCTGAATGGTTGAGATGCGCAATAAAACATTGATAATTGAAAAAGCAGCACAACTCTTTATAAACTGGAAAAAATAAAATAAACAGTGTAATTTTTCTTGATTATAGCTTACTAATTTATGATCATTTTTTATGAACACTGCAGTAATTCGGAAAAAAAATTGGTTTTTTTTCGTTCTTAAATTGTTGTAGTTATAGAAGTGCTGACTTCTTAAAGTGATGTCAGATGTTTTATTACCACGTCACGAATGAAATAGAACTATTTATTTTCCTGCTTCTTCGTTTTTTTTTTTTTCAAGTGTGATGTTTAAGATAATCAACAAAATTTCATATGCCGACTGTAACAACTATATGACGATTTTTACTGCAATTTACAACAGAAACAAGAAAGTGGAAAATATAGAAAAATTTTGTTTGCTTGGTAACGTTAAGCTGTCCTCTAAAATACTTATGATGTTGTTTGAACAGCATTAATATCATCATTAACTTTTAAAGTAAATCTTTATTTTTTCTTTCTTTAACAACTAGAACACTATCTGACAACACAAATCTCTAAGTATTGACTTAAACAACTCCCCAAAACGTCACTTCTTTGCTGTTGGCGAGTGAATAGATCTCAGCAATTCACGTAGTGATATTTTGTTGATAAATCTTAAAGTGAAATAAACACAATGAAAATAATGCAAATTTTTTAAAGTTAGGAACAAGCAAAACAACAAAAAAATTGCAGTCATAGGTTAAAATGACTTAAATTATACAGATTTTTATGGTTTCAACTGTAGGTTTAGTTAACAAATATTTATTTGGGATGTTTGTTTTTTCCCAGTTCAGTCAGGAAGGAAATGTTGTCGTCATCTTTAGTCAATTTTCTTTGATATTCGATTAAATTTTTATGATTTTGTCAATAAATAAGATAAACAAAAAGAAAAAAAAAGTGGAGACTGAGACATAGAGGATAACACAAAAGGTGAAACTGCGGGGTTCAACACCTTTTACCCCATCCATCTGTCTAATTCACCTATTCAATGCAGTAGTCATTTTTCAACGATATGTTGACTGATATCCAGACAGCCGCTATGGCACAATGAGAGATTATGACTCAAAAATGGTAAGCTGTAAACATTTATCAAATCTTCTTTTTTTTACTGACATTATTAATAATTGAAATATTTATTTTTACTGTTTCTATAATATTTAAAAAAAAATTTTTTTTTTAATTTACAATTTGCTACTGTCATTGTTGTCGAGAATATTTTTTTTATTTTGAAATTATTTATAAGTTTGTATTTTTTGCAATGATAATAGTTATTGAGAATCAGTTCATAAAAATTTTAGGGGTGGTTTGAATTAAAACCGAAGAAAACAGAAGAGAGGGAGTGGAGGACAGGGAAAATTGAGTGAAAAATAAAAGAAAACAAATTTTGTTTTTTGGTTTTTTTTTTCTCTCCGAAAAAGGAGGAAATAGACTATATCTGTGTAATGTACCAAAAATAGAAGCAAACTTTACCAGAGATTTCGTTTACCTATTTCAGTTGTAAAACCTTTATTTGACTTACAGCACAGTTTTCTTCCAGTCTTTTTGTTGTTGGTAACCAATTTTTTTTCGCACTGAAAACATTATCATTTTTATTGGATATAAGTTTGTCAAAGAAAAGGGTTTTTTTTTTTTGCGTTTTGTTTATACAAACTATATAACTGAATGAATGACCATCGGTCTTCATAACGTTTGATGAACGATGAAAGCGGAAAAAAAAGGCATTGAACAACAGTTATACTATCTGAACAGTTAGACGTCTTCTTTTTTTTTCTCCTCATCTCTTTCTGTATTCCGTCCCCCGTTTCGATTCGTTTCGTTTTTTATATATACTTTAATCGTCTTTTTTTTGATTACTGTTGTCGTCAGTTTGCAGCAGTAATGATAATGACTCAATAGAACA